ACTTCTCTTTTCTCCTCTCCCGTCCCCTCCCTCTCCCCCCACTCACTTTCACCTCTTCTTCTCACCCTTTCAGGGTCTCATGTATCCCAGGTTAGCCTCAGACTAACACCTGACCCTTCTTCCTCTGCCTCCTGAGTACAGACACTTGTACCCCCTCTCCCAGGACCAACACCAAAGCCTAGTGCACACCAGGCACCAGCTGAGCTATATCACAGTCGCCCCTCCGCCCCACCCCCTGTACTGTGCTGAAATACACACATGTTCTCACACATGGTCTGCCTCTGCAGTCATTGTTTCTTTAGGGTGAGGACTCGATATGTGACCCTGACCGATCTTGGGCACCAGAGTGCTATGGATTCTCCCCCATCAGCCGCCCTTGGCCTCAGATTTCATTACAGTTCAAGGTCATCAGCTTCACAGTGATTTGCCAGCATCACACCCTTTCCCCTCTCCCCAGACCGAAACCCCAGTGCAGTCCTTGGTCACCACGCCAGCTCACCGAAACTTCCTCTCGATGAATTCAGCTATTCTGGGTTCCTTATACCGTTCGTGTCCTTTGTGCTTGGATTATGTCGTCCCGAATCATGCTGTGCAGGTTGTGGCATGTGTTGGAATGGAATCTGTTTATTTATCATTTTGTGGCACATCTCCCTGTGTGGCCCAGACTGGCCTTGCACTGTCTCTGCCTTACGATTGCTGGGGTTACAGGTTTGCTCCATCACACCCAGCGTTTCCTTTGTAAGAGTTACATTAACACTCCGGTGTGCATCTAGACCAAATTTTATCTGTTCAGGGGTTGTTCGGTTTTGTTTTGTTTTTTTTTTTTGTTTTTTTTTTTTTTTATTTTTCGAGACAGGGTTTTTCCGTAGCTTTTGGTTCCTGTCCTAGAACTAGCTCTTGTAGACCAGGCTGGCCTCGAACTCACAGAGATCTGCCTGCCTCTGCCTCCCGAGTGCTGGGATTAAAGGCGTGCGCCACCACCGCCCGGCTTTTGTTTTGTTTTTTGATGCACACCTAGGAGTGATTATTTTAAACACATCTCAAACTTGTGGCCTCCGAACTCTCTTATGCCTACCCAACGCCCTACAAATGTTTCTAGGAACAACCAGGAGGGCAGATGAATGTCTTAGGGATACCTCTATCCACCCGGCTCCAAAGCTGTGTGACTCGCTGGGGGAGGGAGTAAGCTCTCCACTGTTGTCAGCATGGTTTCTGGGGTTCACTGTAGAGACTCCCCCAGGATTGGTCAGATACTAAGAAACCTTGTAGCCTGGTGGTGCATGCCTTTATCTCAGCCTTCAGGAGGCAGAGGCACGCAGACCTCTGTGAACAGAATCCAGCCCGGTCTATATATCAAGATCCAAGTCAGCTAGGGCTACAAAGTGAGATTCTATCTAAAAAAGAAAAGAGTTGGGTGGTGGTGTGCACACTCTTTAATTCCAGCACTTAAGAGGCAGAGGCAGGTGAGCTCTGAGTTCTGGGCCAGCCTGGTCTACAGAGAAAGTTCCAAGTTCCAGAGTTCCAGGACAACTAGAGCTACAGAGAAACCCTGTCTTGAAAAACAAAACAAAAACAAAAAAGAAAGAAAGGAAGGAAGGAAGGAAGAAGAGAAATGGATGGGTTTTGGTGGAGGCTGGAAAATAGAAGATCAGGAGTTCAAAGCTATCCTCAGCTATGTAGGAAGTTTGAGACCAGCCTGGTCAAGCAGACAGTCTCAGCAAGAATGACTAAGTTATTTTTGCAATGCTGGAGAGTAAGCTCAGATCTTGTGCCAAGCCAGTACTCTACTACTGAGCTACCTCTTCAGACATTTAAATTTTTTTTACTTTGAAATGGGGTCTCACTAAGTTCTCCAGGCTAGCCTTGACCTCACTCTGCAGCCCAGGCTGGTTCTGAACTCACAACCTTTCTGCCTTAGCTTCTTGAACAGCTGAGATGACAAGAGTGCACCCCACGTGTGACTAAAACCTTTATTATTTTTATATTTGTGAAATCAGCAGATGGTGATCTAACGTGCTGCAGTGCGTGCGCGCGCACACACACACCCACACACACACCCACACACACACCATAGAGCAGTCCTGTTGTGGAGGACTGTGTTATACATGACGGGCACCTGGTTGTCAGCCTCCTTAGGTTATTTCCAGCCTTGTACAGCACACATGCACTTCGGTGTTCCTGTGAGCTCATGCTGCTTTTCCTCCTGCCCAGAGGCCAGGGTGTCTGTAGGAAGCAGCTCTGGTGGGACCTGGTCCACGCCAGGCCAGGGTGGCAGGTTGATCAAGTGGTGTGTGGACTTGCACACTGGGGAGCAGGGTTTTAGGCCTGTATCTCTCTTAACCTGGGCCCTCTGGCTCCGCATCAGGACCTGAGACACCCTGACGTTTGAGGTCTCAGGAGCTCCTGGAAAAGCTTCTGTATTTTGACCTCTTGGTGACGAAATGAACTGAAACAGCTTCTCGCTGGGACCTGGTCGCGCCTCTGACTGTTCCTAGTGGCACAAACTGAAAGTGCCAGGACCCGGAGGCGGGGCCTAATGGAAGAGGCACCTGAGGTGGGAGGGAAGTCGCGGTTTGCTCTAGCCTTGCGGGGATTGTTTGCAGGGCTGGGGCATTTAGAAATTAAAGGACACTCCCATCCGCGAGCCTGTGGGCTGGGAAGTGGTGTGTCTGTGGGCAAAGCCTGGCGCTGGCCGTGGAGACCTGAGTTTCAATCCCTGCTCCTAGGCTGATGTATAGATCTCGGTCATATGAAACTTTTTTGAGGTGGTGATGGGGATGGACAGGCTGGCTTCAAATGCATTGTTTAGCTCAGGTTGGTCTTAAGGTCATGATCCTCTTCCCTCAGCCCTCCGCCTCTGGAGTGCTGGGATTCTAGGTGTGTGTGGCCATGCTCTGGCTCCTGTCACCTTTTTGGGTCTCGCTTTCTTCATATTTTAGATGGGAAGCATCCCATGGGTGGGTAGCATGCTTTCCATCCCCCCCCCCCCGAGTTAGTTCTTCCTGTCACTTCTGTCTCCTGGCCTCCGTGCTGTGTGACCGTGTTGCCCTGTGACCTCTGCTAAGCCTGTAATGTTTAACCTCATCACCTGCATGTGTAAACTGAGACATCTCTCTGGCTTCCCCAAAGCCCAGGAGGCTGGGCTTCAGGAAAAACCGGAATATGGGACCAGAAGTTGCTGGTTTAGCATCCTTGTTGCTCTTGACTTCATGGGTGACAGTATTTCCAGGGATATTTCATTTTGGGAGAAGAGGCAGATAGGAAGGCAGCCACGTGGAGAGAGTTATGTCCCCCACGGGTTCAGAAAGTTCTCAGAGAAGCCAGAACCTCTGAAGCTTCGGTCAGCCAAGCTGACCCAGTGGGCTGAGGTCATTTCTGCAGTCGGGGCTGTGTACCCACAGAGGGTGTCCACTGTCCTATGGATGGAAGCCGTGGTCCAGATGGTCCCTGTCTGCTCCCATCTGCCCATCAGACATCACACTGCTACCTCACCATGCCTTTTTCACCTTCCTTCCTCAAATGCAACAGTCTCTGCTGCTGCAGGCAGGAACGTTTTCCCTCTGTGTCTGGTATTGCTTCCTGATCCTTCAGCCCCCAGTTCACTTCCTCAAGGAGGGCCTTCTAGGACTTGCCATAACCCAGTCAAAACCAGTCTGGTTTGCTCTGTCACCGACGTGGAATCTCTCAGTATTTGAATAGCTTAAAATGTCAGTAACTTTTGGCTTAAGGTCTTTTTGGTCCACCGAAGACTGTTTCTCTTGGGTTCTTAAATACCTGGGTGAGAACTTGGGCTGTTTCCTCAAGACTTGTGCTTGGGATTGGCTTCCCAGAGGACTGAGTCTTTTCTCTACTGACTCAGCTGTGTGTCGCCTCCCTAATCCCTCAGTGGTTTCAACCTAGGAAGGCTGCAGCCTACATAGTGGATGGTGAGAGGCGCTAGGCCACCATCAGCTGTCCAGCATGGGTTCTGCCCCAGACAAAACACAGCCTCCAGGGAGTCTCAATTTCAGATGTTTTGAACATCCTGATTTCTCAGGGCTTAACATGTATCTGGTTCTACTCCAAACACTTTATGTTCATTGAACACATAGTTCATAAGCCCCTATTAGGTTCTGAGTACTGTTTCTGGGTCTGACCCAGTGAACAAAGCAGACAAAAATCCATTCTTGTTACACGGAAGATGCAGACAGACAAGTAAGATACAAAGAGTAGTAGAGAACTATGGAGACTCATGAGCTGGGGAAGAGATAGGGGGTCTCAAGGAGCTTGCATTCTGTCTGACTGTCTGTCTGCGACAAGGTCTCACGTAGCCCAGGCAGGTCTCAAACTCACTAGAAAGCTGAGGTTGGCCTTGAACTCTTGATCCTTCTGTCCCAGGGATTACAGGCATATGCTACCACACCTGACTGGGGCTTACAATTTAAACACCCAGGACTGGAGACGGCTCAGTGGTTAAGAGCACCGGCTGCCCTTCCAGAGGTTCAGAGTTCAATTCTCAGCACCCACATGTCTCAGCACCCACATGGTGGCCCACAACCATCAATGGGAGCCAATGCCTTCTGGTCCGCAGGCTGCAAACATCAGTATACATAGACTAAATAAATCTAAAAAACAAAACAATTTGAACACTCAACTTCATTCTCACAACTGCCCTGTGAAGAGTGGCTACCTTCATGATCCCTATTTTATAGATGGGGACACGGGCTCAGAGGTTGAGTGACAGGTCACACAGGTCATTCATTAGTGGCAGCTGGCCTTCTGGTTTTCTTTTTAATCACTCCCTCTGCCTAAGCGATAGTGTGATAGTAGCCCTCACTTCTGCAGCTATAGGCTTTGTGGTCCTATATGGATTCAGTTTGAGTACTGAACTAGAAAGTTAAATGGGGGTCCTCTTCCCCAGCTCAGCACAGACTTCAAGACTGAGGTGGGGCCGGTGGAGGGTGTTGAGTGCCCATGTATGAAACGAAACTGACGGGGCTGCCTATTCCTGCCTCCCCTAGGCATCCTGCCTCTGCGGCTCTGCACCCTGTATACTATGCGGCTGTTGCCCCTCAACCCGGAACTCCACGGTGAGCCGCCTCCTCTTCACCAGCTTTCTCTTCTTGGGGGTGCTGGTGTCTATCATCATGCTGAGCCCCGGAGTGGAGAGTCAGCTTTACAAGGTAAGTGTCTGCGAGGGTGTTGGAAGGCACCGGATCGCCCCGCCCCGCCCCGCCCCACCCTTCACAGTCAAGGGAAAATGATTGAAGTTCCAGGGGTGGGAGGACACCTGAGCTTCCTATAGGGTGGATCTTACAGGAGCAGGTTCCCCTTGGAAAAGCCTATTCAGGGCTGGAGAGATGGCTCCGAGGTTAAGAGCATTGCCTGCTCTTCCAAAGGTCCTGAGTTCAATTCCCGGCAACTACATGGTGGCTCACAACCATCTGGAATGAGATCTGGTGCCCTCTTCTGGCCTGCAGCCATACATGCAGGCAGAATGGTATATTCTAAATAAATAAATCTTTAAAAAAAAAAAAAAGCCTATTCATCACTGCTGCCCTCTAGAGGCAGGTTCTGGGAGTGCGTCTCCCTTTGGATGTTGAAGCCCGGGCTGGGAAGCCTGACTTGACCTTAGCGCCCCCCGCCCCCCCCCCCCCACGAGGGTTTTTGAGGCCCAAGACTTTAACCAGTGCAGAGGTGCGGATCCCTGCAGAGTCCTTAGAGAAGCCAACTCTCTCGGGGGTCCCGCAAGCCTCTTAGTGGTTCTGCTAAAGGCAGGAGGTGGAGACCGCCTGAGATGGGGGTGTGGGATGTGGGCGATGATTGTGAGGGGTTGTTATGGGATAGGGGTCTGGGCAGCCTCTCTTAGGGAAACAGGCCTGAGTGGAGGCTGCAGGGTTCTGGTGGATGGGGCTCTCAGGCTGCCCTGTTGTCTCCACAGCTACCCTGGGTGTGTGAAGACAGGACCCAGCAACCCTTGGTCCTGCAGGGCCCCGTGGACTGTGGCTCCCTGCTGGGTTTTCGCGCCGTCTACCGCATGTGCTTTGCCACAGCGGCCTTTTTCTTCTTCTTCATGCTGTTGATGATCTGCGTCCGCAGCAGCCGGGACCCACGAGCGGCCATCCAGAATGGGTGAGGGGCAACCACAGGCACCTGCACACTTCCCTGGAAGGCTCTTCTCCCCTCTGCCTATCCCCAGGGACTCTAGACCCTGCCCTCAGACTGGTAGAAGCCAGAGGTCAGCCTCAGCTGTTCCCGGGAACCATCCACACCTTTTCTTTTTTGTGAAACAGGAAACAGGGTCTCTCACCTGGGGCTGATTACACTAGCCTGGCTGGCCAGGTCCCCAGCGACAAGCATGTCTGGGTTTTTATGGGAGGGCTGAAGATCACCAGTTGGTCTTCATGCTTGCGTGACAAGTCACCTGTTGAGCTACCCCTACTCAAATCCGTTTTGAATGGAGGATAAAGTTCAGAGATGGTAGTGGTTGCTACACACACAACAGTTCAGTTTTAGTCTCGCCGCTTGGTTCTTCCCCCTGCCCTGAGTTCCAGGTTTTTTCTAGGAGTGGGGAACACCTTGTCTGTCAGGTCACCAGTATGCCCCTTCCTCTCTCCTAGGACCTGTCCCTTGGGTGGAGGTTCTGGGCTGCCTCTGCTCCGGTTCTATCGAGGCCCCCACTCAGCTTCCCCCTTCATCTCTCTTGTAGGTTTTGGTTTTTTAAGTTCCTGATCCTCGTGGGTATCACCGTGGGTGCCTTCTACATCCCTGATGGCTCCTTTCCCAAGAGTAGGTGGCTCTGAGGGCACGGGAGGGGCAGCAAGGAGGGTGGTGGGGTGAGTGGGAGGGTGGGGGTGGCTCTGCCTTGGCATCACATTGACTCCAGGTGGCTGGCAGCCCTCTGCGTTTTCTTCACTAGATAGCATCCTAGTGCTGGGCTTTGAAGCCTTGGGGTAACTCGGGGTGGGGGACCACCTAGCCTGGACCCTACTCAGCCACACTGAGAGGAGGACTCTTCTTCTGTTCATGTACCCACGCAGAGTAGGACACGAGTGACTATTGCATGAGTCTGTGTGTTTGAGAGAGGACAGCTGAGTGAAGGCATGCTAGGAACCCTGGGGACCTGCTGTCCCCGTAGCCGCTCCTACGGCCCAACCACCCACCCCATTGCTCTCTCCCCACAGTCTGGTTCTACTTTGGCGTCGTGGGCTCCTTCCTCTTCATCCTCATCCAGCTGATCCTCTTCATCGACTTTGCACACTCCTGGAATCAGCGGTGGTTGTGCAAGGCCGAGGAGTGTGACTCCCCAGCCTGGTATGCAGGTCAGTGCCAGGCTGGCCTCCACACTGAGGGGCTGGGAGCCTGATGGATGGGGTCTGGAGTTGAAGTTTGGAGGAGGGAACGGGCCCTGAGAAGCTGCCTGAGGGGCCCTGAGGGGTTGAGATCCATAGCTTCCGACAGACAGACTACACAGAGCAGGGAATGTGCCAGGCCCTTTGGTGGTGGCTCAACCATACTTTAAGTGATGTCTGGTTATTGGAATCCCTGCTGAATCCCCTCCACTTCTCCTAAGTCTGTAAGAAAGTCTGGGCCAGCATTCATTGCCCTTCTCACTTTTCTGAGCCTGCTGGTCTCTGTCCAATCATCAGACCTCATGAGCTATTGACAAGACCCTTGTTTTGTGAGCAACTGATGAGAATCTTGCCACGTACTAATGACAATTCGCTAGTATAACCTTTTCTTTCTTTTTTTCAAGACAAGGTTTCTCTATATAACAGTCCCAGCTATCCAGACCAGGCTGGCCTCGAACTCACACAGATCTGCCTCTGCCTCCCAAGTGCCGGGATTAAAGATGTGCGCCACCACTGCCCAGCAACCTTTTCTAAAAATATTACTGGGGACTAAACCCAGGATCTTGTGCATGCTAGTCAAGCAAGCACTGTACCACTGAGCTACACTCCCAGTCCACTTCTTTCTTGTTATTTTGAGGCATACTCTCACTAGGTTGCCCAGGCTAGCCCATGAGGCCATGGTTGACTGTGACTGGAGATTGGCATCCCTTTCCTCATTGAATAACCCATGGCTTCTGGGATCACTATTATGCGCCCATGCTGGGCACTCTGTTCAAACTTTTTAAAAACAATTTCTTTTAATATTCACTAATGTGTGTGCGTGTCAGTGCCTGACCACAGTAAGGGTCCTGGTGTGGTGGTGCACACTTTAATCCCAGTGCTCAGGAGGCAGAGACAGGCAGATCCCTGTGAGTTGGAGGCCAACCTGCTCTACAGAGCAAGTTCCAGGACAGTCAGGGCTACATAGAAAAACCCTGTCTTAGAACAACAAGAAGAAGCCGGGCGGTGGTGGCGCACGCCTTTAATCCCAGCACTCGGGAGGCAGAGACAGGCGGATCTCTATGAGTTCGAGGCCAGCCTGGTCTACTGAGCTAGTTCCAGGACAGGCTCCAAAACCACAGAGAAACCCTGTCTCGAAAAACAAAACAAACAAACAAACAAAAAAGAACAACAACAAGAAGAGGAGAATTGATGAGAGTATTTTAGAAAATGGGATGTTTTGAGTTCGGATTGGAGCCTGGGTTTATTGCTGGATCGTTCATCAGTCATTTTTCTAGATTTCAAAATTTAATCATATTCAAGACCCAAGGCTGCTGAAGTTGGCTAACCCAAACTAGAACTTTAGGCGGGGGTGAAACATATAATGGAGCGTAAAAGTTGAATTTCTCATATCTTATATCGTCTTGTGGGCTTTACCAGCACATTATTTTGGCTTTAATTATTTTGTGTGTATGGGTTTTTGTCCGCATGTGTGTGTGTGCAGTGTGTGTGTGCTTGGTGTCTCTGGAGGTTAGAAGAGAGTGACACATCACCTGGGACTGGAGTCGTGGATGGTTGTGAGTCACCATGTGGGTGCTGGGAGCTGACCCCAGTCCTTTGTAAGAGCAGCAAGTGCTCCTAACTGCTGAGCTGTCTCCAGCTCTACCAGCAAATTCTTTCAGATGATAGCGGTGCAGTGACATCCGGTACAACCCTGTTTTGATTTACTGTCCTTAGAGTGACAGTCACCTCCTTACAGCGTAGGAGTCATTATGGATTGGGTTGGGCAGGAACTCACAAGGGTGCCATGGGGAGCCACGCCTCACATCAAGGAACTGAGGCCTATGGCAGGAGGGCAGCTGCAGCCTGCTGGGGAAGCTGGCGCTCCTGTTTCTGCCTCACATTTCTGAGCTGTTGTTCATCCCCGTGCTGCCCAGGCCTTTTCTTCTTTACCTTCCTCTTCTACCTGCTGTCCATTGCTGCTGTGGCACTGATGTTTGTCTACTACACCGAGTCTGGCGCCTGCCACGAGGGCAAGGTCTTCATCAGCCTTAATCTCACCTTCTGCGTCTGCGTCTCCATCGTTGCCGTCCTGCCCAAGGTCCAGGTGAGCCTGCCCGTTGGTCCAGTCTCTTTGCAGGTGGGACTTCATGGATGAAGCTGGGTCCCAGGACAGGCACTGACAGGTCAACGAGACCTGGCCTGTGTTATAGCATCTAAGCTCCTGGTCTCCTGATTTGGCTGTCATATCTACAAGCTAGGCATCTTTGAGAAAGTGCTTTTTTAAAAATTTTATTTATGCTTTATGAGTGCTCTGAATGCACACCTGCAGGCCAGAAGAGGACGCCAGATCCTATTATAGATGGTTGTGAGATACCATGTGGATATGGGAATTGAACTCGGGACCTCTGGAAGAGCAGACAGTGTTCTTAACCTCCGAGTCAGCTCTCCAGCCCCTTGTAGGGTTTTTTTGTTTGTGTTTGTTTTTTGTTTTCTCGAGACAGGGTTTCTCTGTGGTTTTGGAGCCTGTTCTGGAACTAGCTCTTGTAGACCAGGCTGGTCTCGAACTCACAGAGATCCACCTTCCTCTGCCTCCCGAGTGCTGGGATTAAAGGCGTGCGCCACCACTGCCCGGCCCCTTGTAGGGGTTTTTAAAAGACAAAACTGTATGGCCACTGTATTTCCCATTTGACCGTTATTTTCCAAGAACTACAACTCCCAGAATTCCAGCAAGTCACCTGGTTCTTGGGCAGGTGGGGCTTGCAGGTTGGCTTTGGTTCTTACAAGTGCTCATGTCAAAAAGGTCAGGTGTGCTTATTATCCAAGAGCTAGGGAGGTGGGGACAGCCAGCCTAGCCAAACTGGCAAGCACCAGGTCCCACTGAGAATCCTTGTCTCTCAAAAAACAAAAGGATAGTTCCTGAGGGGTGACAGGTGAAGTGTCTTTGGCCTCCATGGTCATGTACATACACATACATACACACATACATGTAACACACATATACAACATACACACATGCATGCACACACACATACACACAACATACACACATACACACAAATGTACACACACACACACACACTTCTACAAAATGCAGATTCTTAGCCAAGGCTAGTAAACAGCAGAGTGGAGATTTGAACCAAGAGCTCCTGCAGGCAGTGAGGAGTGGGGCAATCCAGTAAGGAGTCAAGGTTGAACGAAGCCAGTTTCTTTGTGAGCTTTGTGGGGCAAAGGCAGGGATCTGGTGGGGCAGGAGCTTCCGTGGGGGGGGGTACTCAGGGCCTCATTTTCCCTCTCCAGTCCCCCCTCCTGCCCCAACCATCCCTGGCAGAGGGGCCAGGTGAGGTGGGAGAAGAGGGGGCTGCAGAGTCTGGAGTGTGACAGTGGGGTGTAGGGCGCAGGTGAAGCTGAGCAAACTAGAGAGGGGCTGACCCGAGCATTTGCGGAAGAAAGGGTAATGGTAATCTGGGGTTTCAAGAGAAAGAATTGGGGCTCCGGTTTTGGGTAGGGAGGAGTGGCGGGTGCTCTAGCGGGGTGAGCAGGCTGAGCTCTTACCTATGAACTGTCATTGCCAGGATGCCCAGCCTAACTCAGGCCTGCTGCAGGCCTCCGTCATCACGTTGTATACCATGTTTGTCACCTGGTCGGCCCTATCCAACGTCCCTGGTGAGTGTGAGGCAGGCACTGGTCCAGCAGTGGCCTGCTGAAGTGTTAGCGACATCACAGGGGTGTGGGACACCTCAGTACTGGGGGTGGAAAGGAGGGCCCCATCTGCTCCTGGAGTTGTTTATCTGTCTTTATTGTGTCTGCCACCCTGTGAGTGTGTATGTCTGTCTGTCCTCTTGGGTCAGCTCTCTGCCTCTCCTCAGAGTTCCCTGGCTCCTAGATCCAGTCAGCTAAGGTTAAAGGTATCTGTGTTCCATACCCAGACCAAAAATGCAACCCTCACCTGCCCATCAGAAATGGAACAGGCCAGATGAACTTGGAGGACTACAGCACCGTGTGGTGGGATGCTCCGAGCATCGTGGGCCTTGTCATCTTCATTCTGTGCACCTTCTTCATTAGGTACCAGGGACTTGGGCTCTGGGACGGGTGCTGAGTGGGGGAGTGAGAGAGGACTGGGGAACTTCCTATTGCTGTGATAAGCACTGTAACTAAAACCAACACGGTGAGGAAAAGGCTTATTTGGATTACAATTGTGTGTCTCAGCCACATTCTGTCACGGAGGGAATACTGCCTATTGGTTTGCTTTCGGTGGCTTGTTCAGTTCTCTTTCTTCTACAATCCAGGCTCATCTACCCAACAGTGGTGTCACCTACAATAGGGTGGGCTTTCTCCTCCCCCCCTCCCCTTCTCCCCTATAATGATAGATCAAGAAAATGCCCCTTTTAGTTGGTTCTCTCCTTTGGGATTGAATTTATGCCACTAGGCTTGGCAGCAGGTGACTTGACCTTCTGAGCCATGTCCCTGGTCCTGTTTATTATTGTCGTGAAAACTTTTTCATGGAATTTATTAGAACAATGCTATGGGCCAATAGAAACAGCAAAGAATCAAAGTATTAAGGTGCAAGCTGTAAAAAAAAAATCCCAAGTAAAATTCCAAAATGTTGAATGTACTGAGTTATTCATTAGCCAACCAAGAGCTCAAGAAAGGCCAGTACCCAGATAATAAAACACAGATGTTTAAAAATTACTCCTGCATATATGAGCATGATGTGTATGTATGAGTATGTACCATATATGTGCATATATGTGCATGTTGTGTATGTACCATGGCACATATGTAGAGGTCAGGGGATAAGGCTGTGAAGTCAGTTTTCTGCCTCCACCTTTACATGGGTTGTGAGGGTGAAACTCACCAGGTTTGAGCAGCAAGGACATTTACCTCATTGAGTCACCTTGGGGACCCATGGCATTTTTTTGGTCTTTCTTTTCAGTGCTGGGATCTGGCCAGGGCCTTGCACGTGCTAGGCCAGTGCTCTGCACTGACCTCCCCTCTGCTTTCTTTTCCTAAACACGAAGGCAGTTGCTAACACCAAATGCCCAGGACTAACAAAGCTCAGAGTTTCCAGACATGGCTCATGCCTTTAATTCCCACCCCTGGGAAGCAGAAGCAGGAGGATTGCTGTGAGTTTCAGAACAACCAGAGCGACATAGTGACATAGTTCAGGCCAGCCTGAACTTGTGAGACTGTCACACAAAACAACCAGAGTGCTGCGCTGATGGGTCAGGGCGAAAGTATAAGCTGTGCAGGTATGAAGACCCGAGTTTATGTCCCCAGCTTATACTACAGGACACCGCTGTACCCCAGCTTATACTACAACACACTGCTATACCCCAGCATATACTACAGGACACTGCTGTACCCCGGCATATACTACAGGACACTGCTGTACCCCGGCATATACTACAGGACACTGCTGTACCCCGGCATATACTACAACACACTGCTATACCCCAGCATATACTACAGGACACTGCTGTACCCCGGCATATACTACAGGACACTGCTGTACCCCGGCATATACTACAGGACACTGCTGTACCCCGGCATATACTACAGGACACTGCTGTACCCCGGCATATACTACAGGACACTGCTGTACCCCGGCATATACTACAGGACACTGCTGTACCCCGGCATATACTACAGGACACTGCTGTACGCCGGCATATACTACAGGACACTGCTGTACGCCGGCATATACTACAGGACACTGCTGTACCCTGGCATATACTACAGGACACTGCTGTACCCCGGCATATACTACAGGACACTGCTGTACCCCGGCATATACTACAGGACACTGCTGTACCCCGGCATATACTACAGGACAGTGCTGTACCCCCAGCTTATACTACAGGACACTGCTGTACCCCAGCACTGCAGGGTGGAGACAGGAGGGGCTCGGGAGCTTGCTGGCCAGCCAGTGTGTCTGAGATGTCAAGTTCCAGGTTTAGTGAGAGACCCTGTTTCAAAAAAGAAAGTGGATGAGCAGTTGAGAGAGAAACCTAATGTTATCTTCTTGCCTACACATTTACACACATGCATCATGTCCCTTACAGGCAAGCACACTACATACACACATGCACACATATACATAACACCCTCCACCCAATGAAAACAGCCTGTATTAATCTTCTTTCTGTCGCTGTGATAAACACCATGGATCAAAAGCAACTTGGGAGACAAGGATTTATTTCGGCTTATGCTTCCAGACAGGAAACAGTTCATCACGGAAACATGTCTGAGCAAGAACTCAAGGCAGAAACCTGGAATTAGGAAGTGAGGCAGAAGCCATGGGAAACCACTGCTTCCTGGCTTACTGGATGGCTTGCTCAGCTGGCTTTCTTATGCCTGTCCAGGGTGGCACTGCCCACAGTGAGCTGGGTCCTCCTATATCAATAATTAACCAAGATCATGTCCCAAAGACTTGCCTACAAGCTGATCTGGTGGAAGGAATTCCTTGGTTGAGGTTCCCTAGTTCATGACCAAAACTGAGCCAGCAGAACCTTGATGAATGAAGCTCCTGGTTTGGTGCTTTCAGTACTTGGTACTCAGTACTCAGTATTCAGTACCTGTTCTGGAAGTGGTGAGGTGACTGTTTAGTTTATACCCTGGACCGGACATTTGGGAGATGCTTGAGGGAATCAAGGGCTCACAGAGCTATATTTTACTCAGGGTCGTAAGGATCGGAGTAGAGTTGAGAGACTGTACTGTGTTGGCTCCTGGGTGTCCAAGAAGCCTGGGCCACCCGAGTCTAGTGTTGTGACCCTGGCTCACAAGTCACGCCCTGCTGTGTCTACCCATCTCCGTTAGTGGCCCTAACAGCCTGCCTTCCTCTCCCGCAGTCTGCGATCCTCTGACCACCGGCAGGTGAACAGCCTAATGCAGACGGAGGAGTGTCCCGTGGAGACGATACAGCAGCAGCAGGTGACCATCAGTGAGGGCCGCGCCTACGACAACGAGCAGGATGGTGTCACCTACAGCTATTCCTTCTTCCACTTCTGCCTGGTCTTGGCCTCCCTGCATGTCATGATGACACTTACCAACTGGTACAGGTATGCTGTGGCAGCCTGGTGGGTGGGAGGACCCAGCCAGCCCCGGGTGGACTCTCTGAGTATTTTCTCCAGCCCCTCCTGGGTCTTCCGGTCTCTGTTCAGGCTTGGGAACCTAGGTGGCAGAGCCTGTCTTAGGCCCCCATAAAACCGACTCTTCTGCCTTAGTTTCCCTGCTGTGTCTTCATCAGCCCAGCTTCTCACACTTTAGCTAAGAGACCAGAATGGACAAACAGGAGATGGGGCTGGGCTTTAGCAGGGTGACCGTGTTTGCAAATCAGAGCTGGGTTGTGGGGGATCCCAGTGTGGGGTGCAGGGAGAGGCAAGATTAGGGTACGGCAATCAGAATGGAAGCCACGGAATTAAGTGTTGGAATCAAGAGGTCTAGAGTTGGGGTTGGGACAGTGGGGAGCTGCATCTTGTCAGGACTATTGGGGAGCAATCATGTATCAGTGTACACCGGGGATAGGTCATTTGGCTAAAATGGAAGTTCAGAGGCAATCAAACCAGTAGAGGGGCAAGGAGCTAAGTCAGGGGCCAAGGCTGAGTCATCAGTTTAAGGACCAGGAAGGCTTAAGGTCAGAGTTCATCGGTCCTTAGGGGTGAGGGGTGAGGCCAGAGAACTGGGTGACAAAGTACTGAAGATGGGGTTTCTCTGTATTGCCCAGGTATGCTTGAACTTGAGATCCTCCTGCCTCACTTTCCTGAGAGGCTGGGATTACAGGCCCGGGCCGCTGGCCCTTGGACTTTTTTGTTTTGCTTTTGATACAAGGTCTCATGTAGCCCAGGCTGGTCTCAGATTTATTATATAGCCAAGGATGGTCCTTAACTCCTGTTCTTCTTGCCTCGCCTTCCAAGTGCTTGAATTATTAGCATCACTATGCTTGGCTCAGGATGACAGAGTGAGGGACCAAGAGACAGGTCAAGTCAAAACCTAGACGTATGGTCAAGATGGGAATTGAGGTCAAAGTTGGTTCTGTGGTCCAGGGTCCCAAGGCCAGGGTGTCTCCGTGTGAGACACAGGAATTGGAGGTTCAGGGTAAGAGCCAGGGTTGGATTTAGTTGTGTCAACTGGCTCGTCAAGTCAGGGAACAGGACTGAGGTCACAGGATTGGGGGCCAAGCTCATGAGCCGGATGGTGTGTTCCAGCCCTGGTGAGACCCGGAAGATGATCAGCACGTGGACCTCTGTGTGGGTGAAGATCTGTGCCAGCTGGGCAGGGCTGTTCCTCTACCTGTGGACCCTGGTGGCCCCCCTGCTCCTGCCCAACAGAGACTTCAGCTGAGAAGGCCCTGCAGCCCGCTCACCTGGTGCCTTGGGGCTCAACAAGGGCCGGCCCACCCTCGGTCGCACCCACCCACCCTCTTCCAAGATCTGCCAGAGTCAGGGGACCCTCCGTTCTCAGTGCCTCTGGGGTCTGTGGAATATTAGGCTCTGATCAAGCCCCACTTTCTGCTGCCCGTGGCCATGCACACTCACCCTTGGGGCAGAAGTAGCTCCTGTTCTCAGGGTCCCCAGAAGAGGGCATGGAAGGAGAGTGGCCCAGAGCTGCTCAGCTGGCAGGGGGTACCCACCCCATTGGGGTGCCCACACCAAGGCCTGTGCTCCAGGCCTCCAGAGCCAACCCTCTTTCCTAGACCACGTGCCTTACAGAGTCTCTGAGACTCCACCCAATAAACACACCTGTCCATGTGTGTGACTTCCATGTCCTGTGCTCCTCACCGTGGGGGAGTAGAATGCCATGCCTGGGAATAAGGGTCTTGGAGAGTATGGTAGGCAGGCTGGAGAGCAGGGGTTCTGTCAGGGAGCCAAAAGGGCTGGACTCTGGACCCTGCTTTCTAGCGTCTGCTCTCTCCTCTTTTCCCCTCTGACCCCTGTTCGCAGTCTGGGCCTCATCGCTATGCTCATTTCTCTTCTTGCTGCAACGGTCTTAGGGCTTGATGCCGTGGGAATCCAGAGAAGACCCAGAATGCTCCTAGGCCTTGGAACACCTAAGGAAGGGCTCGTGCTCTGAAGCCACCAAGCCTAGCTCTGAGGAGGCTGGGTCACTCTCCCCAGTGATTCGAGGAGAGCAGTGCTGCCTGGTTGGTCAGTGGCTTCTGCGATGGCCCAAGGAGTGGCCTGTGCAGCAGACTCAGCCAGAGGTGCTGGTGTGAGGGTCAGAGACAGGCTTCTGTTACTCCAGTGCAGGCCATTCATCCCTCGTGGTGTGGTGGTGCTCGTGGGTGTGGACTGTAGGTAGTTTTTGTGATAGTCTGGTTAGGTACCCTTTACAGCCCTCCCTGGAGGGGGATGAAGAGATGGCTCAGAGGTTAAGAACAATGGCTGCTCTTCCAGAGTCCTGAGTTCAATTCCAGCAACCACATGGTGGCTCACAGCCATCTGTAATTTATCTCTTCTGGACTGCAGACAGAACACTGTATACATAATAAATACAAAGTTTCACAGGCTTGCCTGAGACCCGACCACCTCCCAGGTAGCCCAGGGTTTTAGGGAGTGCGGGAATAGAGCAGGCATCCTGGGAATGGATGAGTCTAATAGACACCCGGGAAACTCACTTGGGCCTAGCGCTCAAAGCACAGGGAATAACTGCTGGAGGCTTGCTGGGGCTCAAGAGCTAATACAAACTTACTGGGGTGCAAAGGGCATTGTGGGGTCAGAGGAGCATGAGAAGATGGGTGGCCTGGCACAGACTCTCAGGGGTTGTGGGGAAACTAGGTACCCTAAAGACAGAGGGGAGCTGCTGGGGTGCTGAGCCAGGGGCATCCCTAGAGGGGTGAGTTGATACTGGGATCTCCCAGATGATGTTTTAGACAGATTTTCCTGGGTGAGGTAGGGTGGGTGGAAAGCCCAACTAGGTGAAGCTAAGGAAGGCTTTCTCACTAGGGCAGGTCTGGAGGATTTCTTGGTCTACTGTGCACACAGTAGGTACACAGTAGACATCCTCAGCCTCTTCTCCTGTCCTAGCACACAGTAGGTACACAGTGTACATCATCAGCTGCTCCTTCCTGTCCTAGCACATAGTAGGCACACAATGGAGATTCATAGCCCCTTCTGCTTGTCCTACCACACAGTAGATACACAGTGGACATCTATAGCTCCTTCTCCCTGTCCTAGCACACAGTAGGTACACAGTAGACATCCTCAGCCCCTTCTGCTTGTCCTACCACACAGTAGGAACACATTGGACATCTATAGCTCCTTCTCCCTGTCCTAGCACACAGTAGGCACACAGTGGAATCCATAGTCCCTTCTCCCTTTCCTACCTGGTCATGCTGCAGCTGCTCTGAGCTCATCAGATATAAGAGGAAATGCTGAACCGTTGCCTTCCTGTTACAAGGTATTGCTGTGTCTGTCTTTCAACTCAAAGCAATGCCTGAAGCTACAACAACCTTCTTGGGACAATGAGATGACAAACCTGCTGTGCCTGGCTCCAACTTCACTTACATGAGGAAAACCAACCTCTGTATGTCTAAGTCCTGTTAGGTATCAGCTCCGTGCGACTGGATGCGTTGCTATCTGAATTACTGTTCTCAGCTGTGAAGAGACAGACACCATTACCAAGATGACTCTAATTAACTGAGGGTTTGTTTACAGGATTAGAGGCTTAGTTCAGGATCATCCTGGCGGGAAGCAGGCAGGCATTGTACTAGAGCAATAGCTGAGAGCTTTAATTCCTGACCCCCAGGAAGCAGTGAGGGAGAGAAACCTCATAGCCTACTCCCAGTGTCACATCTACTCCTGTAAGGCCACACCTCCTAATCCTTCCCAAGCAGTTCACTAACTGGGAACCAAGAATCCAAGCATATGAACCTGTGAGGGCCACTCTCATTCAAAACCCACACTGATAGAATTTACTGGTCTTTAATTTTAGGGATAACAAGAATAGCAAACAGGACCCTGACCCCGAGTCTAATTAGCACACATTTCTCCTAGTACTCTGTTTATTTCTTGTATGACCCTTGGAGCCCCTTGTGTGACTCACTGTATGGCCCAACTCTCCCCAAGGCCAGGACAAATGAGAACCTATGCTCACTGGTTGTTTGTGGCTCCCCTGGGACCTAGACCAGAACCCCGATGATGAGAAGCACTCAGAACAAGTCAGGTTAGATGAATGAGCACCGTTTGATTCTGGAACAGCCACGGGAAGGCTGTGGTGGAAGGAGTGGGCATGGAGGGCTCCATTGGGCCAGGAAGCCCAAATTCTGCTATTGAGAGGTCAGAGGACTTTCCTAAGAAATGACTTTAAGGCTGAGGCTGGCAGAGTATGTGGAAGTTCACTGTGACAATGAACATGGAGAAGCCTGCTACAGGTGGTACATGCCTGGTGGTGTAAGCTTTACACTTGCGGCTAGGGTGGAAGGAATGGCTAGTTTAGAATATACTGCAAATCTTGCCTCAGAGTGTACCAACAAGGCATGGGATTGTTCTGTGGTTAAAAGTGTGTGCTGGCCAGGTGATGGTGGTGCATGCCTTTAATCCCAGCACTCGGGAGGCAGAGGCAGGAGGATCTCTGAGTTCGAGGTCAGCCTGGTCTGCAGAGCGAGTTCCAGGACAGGCTCCAAAGCCTCACAGAGAAACCTCGTCTCGAAAAAGAAAGCAAAACAAACAAAAGTGTGTGCTGCTCTTGCAGAGGACCAGAGTATAGTGATATTTTATTTATGTTTTAATAAATAAAGTTTGCCTGAAGATCAGAGGGTAAAACTGATCCACTAAAGGCCAGGCAGTGATGTCACACACCTTTAATCCCAGGGTTTGGGAGACAGGCAGACGAATCTCTGTGAGTTCAAGGCCACTCTGGGCTCCACAAGATCAATGCAGAAACAGATCCGGATGATGGTGGCTCACACTTTTAATCCCAGTACTAGGGAGTCACATGCCTTTACTCCCAGCACTAAAGAGAATATAAAACAGGAAGAGACAGAGGCTCAGGGCTCAGTCTCTAGTCACCCAGCCTTGGTAGAGATAAGACTTCTCTAGTGACTTGGCTGTTTTGCTTTTCTGATCTTCAGCTTGAACCAATTATCTGTCTCTGGGTTGTTGGTTTTTTTTTTTTTTTTAATCATTTGTGCTACACCAGAGTTTGTATTTGATTCCTAGCACTCCATGTTGGGTGCCATAACCCCAGCTCCAGGGGACCAACAACCTCTTTTGGCCTCAGGCACCCACATGTATCTGTGTATGAACCCACGAGTGAGTGTGAGCACACGCACGTGTGTGTGCACACACACAGAGAAAATAACTTTTTAAAAGTAGAAGTGGGTGGATGATCATGTAAATAAAACTGTTTCACATGCAACTGTGATGTTCTGAGTTCAAGTCCTTAGGAGTTGAGCTGGACATGGTTTTGAGCATGGGAAGTGGAGGCAGACGATCCCTGAAAGTTCTGTGGGCAGGCAGCCTGGACTAGACGTCGGTGAATGAATGACAGGGATCCTGTCTAAAGCAGGGTGGGGGGCTGGAGAGATGGCTCAGTGGTTAAGAGCATTGCCTGCTCTTCCAAAGGTCCTGAGTTCAATTCCCGGCAACCACATGGTGGCTCACAACCATCTGTAAAGAGGTCTGGTGCCATCTTCCGGCCTGCAGGCATACACACAGACAGAATATTGTATACATAATAAATAAATATTTTTAAAAAATTAAAAAAAAAGCAGGGTGGAAGGTGAAGACTGGCATCTGGCATACAGAGGTGACCTTTGACCTCCACATGCGCTCGGTGGAGCTCTGCACACAGACAGACATATCATTGTTTCTCTGTGTAGCCCTGGAAACCCTGGAACTCTGTAGACCAGGCTGGCCTCAGACTCATAAAGATCCATCTATCTCTGCCTTCAAATTCATGGGGTTAAATGTGTGTGCCACCACTGCCTGGCTGCTTTTTTTTTTTTTTTAAGTGATTTATTTTTGTTCTGTGCTCAATGTTTTGTGTGTGTGTGTGTGTGTGTGTGTGTGTGTGTGTGTGTGCGCGCATACCACATGCATGCAGTATCCACAAAGGCCAGAAGAGGGCACAAGGTTTTCCTGCAACTGGAGGATGCTGGGAACTGGATCTGGGTCCTCTGCAAGAGCAGTCAGTGCTCTGAACCACAGAACCATCTCTCCCGCCTCCACACAAAGACATTTTTTAAAAGTAGAAACAGCTTCGAGTGGATGATGAATGGATAAATAAATGGTCTCTTGCTGTCTGCTTCCATTGCTCTGAGGCACCTGGAATGACAGGTCCTGAGGGAGGGGAAGCCAGTTAGTGGTCGCCAGGGCCTGGGAAGAGGGTGTGGAGCGATTGCTTAGCCGGCAGGAGGTTTCCATTTGGGTGATGAAAATTATGTGGAGTCAGATGGAGGTGATAATGGGATAAAACTGCAAAAATATACACTACGGAGCTGTACATTTTAAAATAGTTTATTTGGGGCCACAAGATGGCACAGTGAGTAAAGGTGCCTGCTGTTGAGCCTGAGGTCTGAGTTCAATCCCTGGAACCCGCTTGGTAAAAGGGGGTCAGGTTCATGTAGTTGCCCTTTGACCTTCATGAGCATACCAAGGGATATGTGTCCCCTTTCCCCAAATAAATAATACACAAATGTAATAAAAATAAAATGGTTGATTTTATGTTATGTAAATTTTACCTCAATTTAAAGCAAAATGTTTTAACTATCTAGAATCTATGATCATGGAATTTTCATAACTACTCAAGGATTTAACACATTTAGAAACATATTTGCTATTAATTTATTTTTGTTAGAGACTTAATCTTCAACTCATTTGAGAAAGAGCAACTGAAGAAAAACAGCAGTCTCTCTCTCTCTCTCTCTCTCTCTCTCTCTCTCTCTCTCTGTGTGTGTGTATGTATGTGTGTGTGATATTGTAATTCACTTTTCCGTTGTGATAAAAAACAGGCTAGTCAGATCTGGGCAATCCCTAGTTGGGAACCCCTTTCTCCAGGTGACTCTTGACTGTGTTGATGGTAAAAACTAGCCAGGACAGAAGGCATAGTTAAAAGCCAACAAGCCCAGATGAAGGCTGCCTTTTCCTGGGTCTGGAACTCCTGCTCTTTCAGCAATTGCACCCGACTTTCTGCTCTACTAGAAGAGTTTCAGGCAGGAGGGAATCCAGTGCGTGCAGAGGGAACAGAGCCCAGCCAGGAAACACCATTAATTTTTGCAGCCATCACACAGCTAGACAAAAGAGCCAGGATGTTGTCGTGAAGGGCAAGCAAACCCAGAATGTTGCCGATGCCCAGTGGTGACCCATGTTGTAGTCAATGTTACCCTGCAGTCCCAGAGCAGGTGACTTGGGAAGGAATGGACTCTTGATGCCTCTTATTCTCCTGAGGCCCAGACTCCATCAGACCTCAGTGTTTGGCTGGGAGCTTCACCCCAGCTCCTGACATAAGCCCCTTCCCCTGGGAGTTGCCTCAGTCCAAACTCCACCTCTGAGAAAGCCCACCAAACGGTCAGAACCTCTCCCACAGGCTATTTAAACTGCCTCCCAGAGAATGAACATGTGGTCTCCTGGTTTTCCGTGGTCATTTCGGTTCTCCTTTCCCCCTCTCCGTGTTTCCAGGGGGGCCACCAGGGAGCGCTGCCATTCATTAAATCTGAGCATCTTTTAATTCGGTCTGATCTGGTTTGATTTGGATTACTACGTTGGCGGAAAGGTTTGTTGGTCGAAAAATACTTAACACTCAGCACTGGGCACAGAAAGATGCCTATGTTTTTTACAGATGCCCAGCCAAGCCTCAAGGTGATTTCTTGTTGTTCCCATGTCTGAGGCCACAAAGCAAATGAAGTGCAGACCCATAAAACCCCTTCCTCTTGAGACACCCAGAGATGGTGCAGTGTTGTGTGGACTGCTTTGTGTTTAAATCTTAAAGACGGGCCTGTGAGCTAGATGGGTGGTTAACAGCACTTGCTGCTCTTGCAGAGGATCTGAGTTTGGTTTCCAGCACCCACAACAGCCTGCAACTCCAGTTCTGGGGAATACAATGCCCTCTTCTGGCCTCTGTGGGCACTGCTTGTATGTGGTGCACAGCCACGCATGCCGGCAAAATAACTGTACACATAAAAATAAAAACAAATCTTTAAAAATAGAATATTAAGCTGGGCAGCGGTAGCACATGCCTTTAATCCCAGCACTTGAGAGGCAGAGGCAGGGGGATCTCTGAGTTTGAGGTCAGCTTGGTCTACAGAGCAAGTTCCAGGAAAGCCAGGGCTACACAGAGAAACCCTGCCTCAGAAAAAAATTTTCCTGAGACAGGAGTTTTCTTAGTTCTGGCTGTCCTGGAACTCACTATGTAGACCAGACTGGCCTCAGACTCACAAAGATCCTCCTGCCTCTGCCTCTCAAGTGCTGGGATTAAAGGCATGTGCCATCACATCCAGCTAATGTTTTTTTTAAAAAAATTAAATTTTAAAAAATCATGATTAGTGTTAGTGGCAAGTGTTGGGGCCACCCCTTCTGATATTCATTCCCCTTTAAATCAGCCAAGACACTGGCAATGGGCAACTCGATTTCCTAATTAGCGTCTATTGAACTTGCCTGTTGTCCCAGCCGCCTTGAGCAAACAGCCAGCCTGGCTGCCCGTATGCCAGCACCAGACTTCTGGAACTCTCCACAGATCCTCGAACAACTGTACAAAGGCAGCTGATTGCCTTGGCTCCTGAGGGCACAGTCCTAGCCAGGGCTGCTCGCACAATTCCTACCAGACTTTTCGCTCTAACAAGGCTTGATGTATGAGTCTAGATTAAGACTTCCTATGGTTTTCCACTCACCACCCTTTTTATCCAAGAAGTTTTACTTGACTCCGCTTATATAGTTATCATATATATACATACACAGATATTTATAGTCAAACATTTATATAACAATTATTTCCAAACAGTTCTTTGCACATATATACTTTTTCCAATTATTAAAACGAAAACATATTCAGGTGTTTATTTTTATACAAAGAGTTAAATCTTGGCTAAATTTTTGAGACTATAGGACACAGAGTATTTTCAACATTTTTCAGGGTCCATTCACATTTTGCTTTTATAATTGTCAATGTTGAGAACACATCTTCATATAAGTACACAGTATAAAATGGTGTAACCATAAGAAGGTCTAAGTATAGGAAGGATGGGCTCGGCTGTTTCTCTATGAGCAGGAGATTTTGTTAGTTAGTTGTTTATTTTTTTATGTAGGGTTTCCTGGCTGTCCTGGCTGTTCCCAGACTCATAAAGATCCTCCTGCCTCTGTCTCCAGAGTGCTGCTGGGATTAAAGGTGTGCACCGCCACCTCCCAGCGACCAGATTTTTGTAGGTGCAATGAAAGTGCTGCAGCTCATAACATACAACAGTTTGGGATCTGAGCTGAGGTTGTCAGGCAGCGTTGGAGCTGTGGGGCCGAATGGCACGCCCTGGGCAGGATACCGCAGGGGCTCACAATGCAACACAGGTGAGCTACATACATACAGCAGAAACACCTCAAATTCATTATGCATCTGATTTTGAATTAAGTTTTGGTTTCCTGTCAGAAACCTTTTACTGTTGCCAAATATTCTGTGGTCTCTCTAC